TTGTGCTATTTGTGCCCCGCGGGGGAAATTGCAAATGATTATTGTATACAGCCTTTTCCCACTCCTTGGTGGGAACAGCTAAGACTTGCCCAAGCCCTAAGAGGAGGGAAAAGGTAGGATAATGCCTGTATCGAGGTCCCTGTAACCCGTACTATAGGGACGCGGGTGGCGCTGTGGGTTAAACAACAGAGCCTAGGACGCCGATCAGAAGGTCGGCGGTTCGAATCCCCGCGATGGGGTGAGCTCCCGTTGCTCGGTCCCTGCTCCTGCCAACCTAGCAGTTCAAAAGCACGTCAAGTGCAAGTAGATAAATAGGTCCCACTCCGGCGGGAAGGTAAACGGCGTTTCCGTGCGCTGCTCTGGTTCGCCAGAAGCGGCTTAGTCATGCTGGCCACATGACCCGGAAGCTGTACGCCAGCTCCCTCGGCCAATAAAGCGAGATGAGCGCCACAACCCCAGAGTCGTCCGCTACTGGACTTAGTGGTCAGGGCTCCCTTTACCTTTACCTTTAACCCATACTGTACGGCCAGTGTGTGTGAGCTGCTGAGGGAGCGAAAACCTTGTGTGCTGCTGTTGTTGGAAGTGGGGAAAGAAACCTGGGGGAAGCGAGAACGATGGTGGGGCAGAGACGGGGAAAGGCAGCTCTGTGGGGCAGAGAGAGGAGAACAAGCCATGTTTCAAATGAGCACATCAAGTTGGAATTGTAGCAAAACTGCTTTTCCGCCATTCACACATTCCTGCTCCTACGGAATGGTCATTTCCAAACTTTTGGTAGCCGAGGCACACTTTCCCCCTGAATTAAAATTGGAAGCACGTGTTATTTTTTTACACACACCCTCAAAAGAGTTTGGTTTTTTTGAGCATGTAACAAACAGGGTTCCTTTTCCCTCAGAAGGGCGATGCTCCCCTTCCCATATAAAGTCACAGATCTGAGAGCAGCTCCGGTGCAGAGACTATGCAGAGAAAAGAGGCAACCTGGATTCTTTGAGCTCATAGGAGCCTTTGATTATTAGCTACCCACCCCTTTAACCCTCTTGTGATGCATTAATGTGTTTCGGCTCCCCAGCGGAAGTTACAACTCCAAGAGAATATATGGGACTTGTGGCTTGTGGAAGAAGGGTGCATTCCAAAGGTGGAGGGGGGATGCGTTGATGAGTTGTGGCATTTGGCGCACCTGTTCTAACAACAAACAGTTTTCTTGGACAACCGAGGAGACCGTTGCTGAGTTGTGTCCGTTGTCCTGTGAGATGGCTCGTTGGGTCAGAGGTAGAAAATCGGAGGTGTCACAAAAAGCGGATGAGTCTCTTGTCACATTCATTGTTGGGGCCCTTTCCCCTCCCCAGAAGTTTATATGTCCACATCTGGAAGACACCGATGTTGTTTATGTACTATTGTCCGCAGCGCCGAAAAGTTTTAAGCACATGCAAAATGGCAGAGGCTGGAGGGGGAACGTTCACCTGGAGAGTTTGCATAGAAACGGCTGTTGCTTCCCATCACCTGGAATTGCAGCCCACGGAGGAGCCGACATTTCTCACCAGTGAGGAAGACGTGACGGAACAGCTTTGCCTTCGAACAGGTCTTGCACAGCCCAAAACACACTCTGTTCCGAAGGGGGCAATGAAACTGAAAAGTTATCTTCTGAAACATTCCACTTCCCGCATGGCTTTTACTCATTCGGCTGAGTGTAGAGTTCTGTGCCCCCCTACGTTTTTTCAATTTAAAAACATCCATCACTTTATCAGCAAAATATAAATGTCATTTAATGAGGAGTTGCCCCCTCCTGGTTCTTAACTCTTGTTTTAGGCTGGAGATGATGGCTAGGAAGAGAACGGATGGTTGTTTGAGAAAGACTTTGGTTCCCAGAGCATGCCCACGTTTATTTTGTCCTGCTTTTTGTTCGAGAAAACTGGTGCCAGATATTGGCTATGAGGCAGAGCTGCCAATCAGGAAGTCTCCGTCTGAAATATTGCCTCTGTGGCGAGCTGCCTAGGTGAGTTTTGGCTGCCTCCAGACTGTCACTATTTTGCAGGAAGGGTTCGAGCGCATACCAGAAATTTGCGCAGTTTGCGCAGTTAAAGTGGATTAAAACGCTCTTGCCACCTTAGCGCGACAAATGCGCTTTAAAAGCGAACGGTTTGCACTTAGGGAAGTAATAGCGAAATGCTGTGAAAAGTGGTATGAGCTAACACATGGAGATGTAAATATTCCCACAAGCAGATCAGGATAAATGCAGGATGTATGCTCGTCATATAGCCTCACCACAAACAATTCAGATTGCTCTGTAGAGACTTGGTACAATCTACCTTTCCCCGTAAGCTTTGTGCAAGCAAGTCAGGACACATGTTCAATAAAGAGGTCATCTGAGGAGCCCTGTATTCTCTCTCGGTCTCGACTAACCTTAGGCAAAGACCCACAGCGCAACGAAATAGGGTATGTTTTGCATGTGAATATTCAAAGTCCAGTTCCCATCATTCAACAACCATCACTAACACAGGTCAAAGTAAATCGGTGATTCCTCCTTGCAAATGGATCCTAGCTCTTTGAAAACAGCCGCTGCCGCTACAGAGCTCTAATATGCCTTCAGCTTCTGTGACAATGGTGTACCTGCAAACAGCTTCTGCCATCGACGTCCTGCTTGCTAGGATTCATGCAAAGAAACCCCCAATGTTTCACCCACCCATTCTTCTTAAACAATAAATAGCATAAATTAGAACTTTAAAATAGAGAGCTCCTAAATTTATGGCAGCAGCTGCCATTCTTGCTAACTCACACGTTTGAAAGGACAAACTCCTCAATCAAAGGGAAATGGATGCACTATATTTCTGCTACGAGAATGGCATAAAGCCGCTCCCTCCCCCGTTACATCCCATACTTCTGATGGGCTTGCAAAGGCAAGAAGGCGGGAGCTGAGCAGAGAGGCCTCCCGATTGGCTGAAAGGCAAATGGTTCCACCACAATCCATTGACACTTTTCAAAGGAAGAATATGGGCATTTAATACGGGCGCCTCTGTAGCAGCAAGAGATTCCACACCAGCTATTAACAAATGTGGAATGCCAACAGAATCAGGGCTTCCTGGCTACAGTGGTGTAGCTTGCTGCTCTGGTGCCCAGGGCGGTACGCTCACCCTTGCAGTCAGGGGTGGAGCAAGCCGCCCATGGGGACGGGGTGAGCCAAGGCAGGGTGCACTGCGTGGAGCCTCTCTGCAGCCTCCCCCTCAGCTGTTGGGTGGCTGAGGCGATGGGCAGACGCAAGCCCCATGCTGCTCAAAACAACACGGAGCTTGCAGGCAGTCTGCCTGCCACCTCCCCCCCAGGAGTGACACGTGGCTCAGGTACGCTGCAGGCCCCGCCATGTGGTGCCCAGTGCTCCTCGCCTCACCTAGCTACGCCTCTGAATTAGGCAGGTTCATGGAGGAGAGGGCTGTCGAAGGCTACTAGCCATAAAGGCTGTGCACTGCCTGCAAAGTTGGAGACAGCAATGCTTCTGGTTTCTGGAAATCACTCAATGGGAGAGTGTTTCTGCAGTGGCGTAGCAAGGGGCGTGCGGGAGTTATTTTTTCGAAAACACATATTTTTGCCATTTTGTCATCCCCCTCAGTGATGACACCCAGGGCGGCCCGTACCCTCTGCACCACCTTCCTACGCCACTGCCTGGCTATGCCTGGAAACGATGTTTGGATTTAGCTATGCAGTCAATCTGTTTCTTGCCCTTGTCCCTTCCAGCCTTCAAGGAAGAATGCTTCTCTTGTGATGACAGGAGGATGGAGAGGTTATGGTTGGGGTTTTTGCATTGGGTTCTTTTCGGGAACATGGTGTTGTTCCTCGGAAGCTCTTGAGGGTGTTCCACAATGTGGAGATGGGTGAATGAGGGCCAGCTTTGGTGAAGTCCCCTCTCAAAGGCATCACTGTTAGCAACCACTAGGTGGAGATGTCAAGTAACCGGGAATGAGAAGACCTACAACCTCTGTGCAAAATAATCGGGATGGATGCTCAACAAACAGGCTGTCTGGGGGAGATCCTAATTCTGACAACCATATAGAAATAAATAAATGACTGGTTCTCTCCCCCCAACCATGCATTGTGCCTTCCTGGGTCCTTCAGACATTAAAAAAAGTTCCTGTTTCCTATGCCAAACACAACAAATCAATCTCTTCCTCGCTTCCAAAGCATGATTTGAGAAGTCGCTCCGTCCAAGCGTCCCACACCCAGCCTTGTCAGCTTTGTGGGTACCCTTCCTCGCAATGCCCCCTGAGTCGGGTTTCACAGCTTCTGCGCTTGTTCTGTCCCCAAAAGATCTCAAAGGGCAACACTGATAGCTTTTCTTCCTCCCCATCAAGGGGAGAAGAAGGAGCAGCACACTAAATAAATAAGGTAATAAATAATATAAATACACCCGGCATTTCCCAAGTTATCTGAAACAGAGAGAGAGAGAGAGAAAGATATGGAAAGAGAGACGACTATTTCTTTCTTTCCCTCTCTATATCCCGGTAATCCTGAAGAAAAGTCAAAAGCTTGTCTTGCTCGTGTGAGACCAAGTGAGGAGTCTCCCAGAAGACGGCCTTCTGCTGGCGTTGACTGGAGTTATTGCTTCGGTTGACGATTTGGAGAAGGAAGGAGAAAAAGGCAGGTCAGGAGGACCAGGGGTGGAGAACGTTCTGTGGACCACAGCTCCCACCGCTGATGAACATGTGGTTGATGGGAGCGGTGGTCCAACAATATCTGCAGAACATCCCTTGGACCACCTCTGGGTTTGAAGCTTGCTGGGCCTCGGGACCAATGCTTGCCATCTTCCCAAAGTCTCCATCACCTTCTGAGAAGGACAGGTTGCAGTTGCCAGGTTCTTAAGTGCTTCCTCCCAGTAACAGAACGACTTGCAATTTGTTGCGGCGGTCCCTTTCGCCTCCCAGGGCGACGCTTGTCCTTTCTTGTCCAAACCCCAGATCCCTGAAGACGGTTGCCGTGGTCCTGCCCCTGGACCTTCTCTCCTTCCCCTGTCCGGCTCAGTTCTCCTCCTCGCAGGCGTGCTCAGCCCCCTTGAAGCAGGCTGACTCGTAGTGCTTGTTGAGGTACGACTTGAGGGCGAAGGTCTTCTCGCATTGCTTGCACTTGTAGTGCTTGAAGGCCGAGTGCGTCTGCATGTGAGCTCTCAGGTTGGAGCGGTCAGCGAAGGCCTTTCCGCAGTGGGAGCAGCCGAAGGGCTTCTCACCCGTGTGGGAACGCATGTGTCCCTGCAGGAGCCACGGCCGGCTGAAAGCCTTGCCGCACACATCGCACTTGTGTTTGAGGTTGTGCGTCAGGATGTGCATGGCCAGGGCGGGCATGGAGACGTAGGCCTTGGAACAGGTGGGACACTTCCTCGCCATCTTGCTGTCCAGGCTGCGGTGCGTTTGTTTGTGCCGGCTGAGGTTGGAAGACGTGGCGTAGGTCTTGCCGCACTCGCTGCACGAGTGGCGGTGCGCGCCCCGCCGCTGGCCCTCTCCCCGGCGCCGCGACCGCCCGTCGGTGATGAAGAAGGCGTCCATCGAGTAGCTCTCGGTGACGGCGGCTTCGCCATTGAAGTAGTGCGCCGACAAGCTGGATTGGGGGCTCTCAGGGTCGCTGTAGTCTTCGTGCGACGGCGTGTAGATTGGGTCTGAGGACGCCAAGTGGAGCTTCTTCTTTTCATTCTTGTAGCTGGACGACGCGAGGCAGGTCTGGAGATAGCCTACGGAGGACAGAAAGGGTTCAGTTAATCAGGGAATCCTAGAGTTCAAAGGGACCCCCAAATGCTATCTAGGCCAACCCCCTGCAATGCAGGAATCTCAACTAAATCATCTGTGACAGAGGGCCATCCAACCTCTGCTTAAAAATCTCCAAGGAAGGAGAGTCCCCCATCTTCCAAGGGAGTCTGGTCAACTCGTTGATGAAATCACAGAATAATAGTTGGAAATCAAGCCTTTATCAGGAGAAACTGGCAACTCTCCCAGGCACCCGGCTTGGTCTCCTGTTGACCTCCCTGTCTGCATTCCCCAGCAGGATCCAGGCTAGGTCGCGATAGGCGATCCTTCTCAGCGTGAGAAGAACACCCCCCCTCTTTGTTGCCCCCCCCCGGCAGGGGAAAGAGATAGAAACGTATTTACATGCCTTTATTTCTGTCTTTGCAGTGTTACAAAAAACATGACTGCTCTCTTCAAACTCCAGCAGTCGAGAGGCAAACACGTCCTGTACAGCTCATATTACACACTGAGCTAATTCCCATGGACAGTCCCAACATCATGTGATGTTTTCAATCTAGCAGCTCGCAGCTGCATTGCTTCTATATCGTAACAACAACAACAACAACAACAACAACAACAACAACAACAAATTATTTGTACCCTGCCCATCTGGCTGGGTCTCCCCAGCCACTCTGGGTGGCTTCCAACAAAGATTAAAAATACATTAAAATGTCACACTTTAAAAACTTCCCTGAACAGGGCTGCCGTCAGATGTCTTTGGAAAGTTGTATAGTTTTTTATTTCCTTGACATTCCTTGACATCCTAGAGTTAGAAGGAACCTAAGAGTCATGTAGAGTGGTACCTCGGGTTACAGGCGTTTCAGGTTACAGACTCCGCTAACCCAGAAATAGTACCTTGGGTTAAGAACTTTGCTTCAGGATGAGAACAGAAATCGTGTGCTGGCAGCACAGCAGCAGCAGGAGGCCCCATTAGCTAAAGTGGTACCTCAGGTTAAGAACAGTTTCAGGTTAAGAACGGACCTCTGGAATGAATTAAGTTCTTCATCCGAGGTACCACTGTAGTTCAAAAATGGAAAGAAGAAGAAGTCCCAGCGAAAGAAGAATGGATACAAAAACTTATGGAAAATGCAGAAGTGGCGAAATTTACCGAAAAAATAAGCAATCAATATAACAATTTTTTTATATAAAAGAATGGAAATGGTTTATTGAATATTTACAAATAAACTGCAAACAGATAAGAACATTGGCAGGATTATTGTAATAACCTGCAGTTTTATAAGAGTATATATTTAAAGCAGATGAGCAGATTAAGTTAATTTGGATATGCAGAAAATATTAAAATATTAAAATTTAAGGAACTGCAGAAAGAGGGGGAAGGAAGTCAAGTTTTGAAATGTTAAAATGATTGTAAAAATATTGAAATGTATAAAATTGGGAATCATACTGATGATGATGATGGTGTCGTCTAGTCGAACCCCCAGCAATGCAGGAATAATGAATCAACGGATTCATTTAATAATATTTCTACGCTGCCCTATTCTGCAGGCTCCTGACAGCTAGCAGGGCATTCAAATAGGAAGCTGCCTTATACCGAATCAGACCATTGGTCTGTCTCGCTTAGAGTTGTCAACCGTGGCTGGCAGCAGCTTTTTAGGAGCTCAGGTGGGGGTGTTCCTCAGCCCTGCCTGGATTGATCCTAGGCACTGAGATTGGGGTCTCCTGCATGCAAAAGAGGGGCTGTACCCCTCAGCAATGTCTCTTGCTCTCTGGAAAGCAGATATTGTTAAGTTGTGGGCGAACATATCAGACGACACAGCGATTCTTCCAAAGCAGCTCTTTATTTGTAAGCTGGAACAGAACTGAGCTGAGGGGCTCAGTCAGCCTGCTTATATAGAGCTCCAGAACAATGTAACTGTTGCCATTTTCTAAAACTATCCAATCACTGAACGTCACTTTCGATCCTTCATTTGCATACAAACTATCCAATCACTGAACGTCACTTTCGATCCTTCATTTGCATAACTATCTACAGTATCCCCCTGCTGGCCCAGGGTAAGAACTTCAGTACATAACAGATATAATACAGCCAACCAACAGGAATGCTTTAAAGGCACAACCGAAGACCTGTGGAAGTTTGCAGGCAAGCTTTTTCTGTGGTGGTTTGCATGACAAACCACTGTTTTAAAAAAGGAGGAAGGGAGTTATTACCATTATTATTAATTTTGAAAATGGCTAAGATTTCTAAATCCATCTGAAACATGGATTCTGAGGTAAAGGTAAAGGTACAGTGGTACCTCGGGTTAAGTACTTAATTCGTTCCGGAGGTCCGTACTTAACCTGAAACTGTTCTTAACCTGAAGCACCACTTTAGCTAATGGGGCCTCCTGCTTCTGCCATGCCTCTGGAGCATGATTTCTGTTCTCATCCTGAAGCAAAGTTCTTAACCCGAGGTACTATTTCTGGGTTAGAGGAGTCTGTATCCTGAAGCGTATGTAACCTGAAGTGTATGTAACCGGAGGTACCATTGTAAAGGGACCCCTGACTGTTAGGTCCAGTCGTGACCGACTCTGGGGTTGCGGCGCTCATCTCGCTTTACTGGCTGAGGAAGCCGGCGTACAGCTTCCAGGTCATGTGGCCAGCATGACGAAGCTGCTTCTGGTGAACCAGAGCAGCACACGGAAACGCCATTTACCTTCCCGCCAGAGTGGTACCTATTTTTCTACTTGCACTTTGACGTGCTTTCGAACTGCTAGGTGGGCAGGAGCAGGGACCGAGCAACAGGAGCTCACCCCGTCACGGGGATTCGAACCGCCGACCTTCTGATTAGCAAGCCCTAGGCTCTGTGGTTTAACCCACAGCGCCACCTGCGTCCCGGATTCTGAGGTGCTGCACCCTAAATATGAATACAACAAAAATCTGATAGCTATACAGTAAGAAAACAAATAATTTGACAGGAATTAAGGAACAAAATCTGAGAAATGTGGTCTCACTGAACAAAGTGCCACACAATTCATTCACGAATCTTTTGATGTCTGCACAGAGCTCCATCTATTTTGATCAGGGCTAATAATAATAATAATAATAATATATGTTGCCCATCTGGCTGCGTCAGAGAGTCCTATCGCCTTCCATCTGACGATCCTTATTAACCTAGATTGTCTCAGCATTGAACCTGAGAACCTTTGCACGCAAAACATGTGTTTTTGCCACTGAGTTATGCTTTGGTGTTGCAACTAGGAAACAGGGCATAGGCGAGAGGACAGACATTTGCATAGCCGTGGTTGCAGAATGTTAACTCCTCAAGAAAGAGAGGCCAGTGTGTTCCCTTCCCACACTGGATGAAGGGAAAACCAAGTCTTCCTCTTGACTCCCTTTTCCAGGGAAGCCTTTGATGGCAGCCAGTGCTGTCAGCGAACGGGTGATACAACTCAGAAGCAGCTCAGCAAACAAAGGAGCATCGGGCGCACGGTTCCACAGCGAGAGGCTACTACGAATGCGCTTGTGTTTTCCCCCTTCCCTGGGGAAATAAGAGGAGCTCAAGTGGAAAGAGCCGACCTCTTTCTCAGGCCGTTCCTTCTGTCTTGTCCAATTTCCTCTTGATTGACGGAGGGAAAGGCAGAGGCGAGCCGGGTCACCTCATTACCTCCCCTCATCTGCCTCACACGAAAATAAAAAAGGAATTAAATTTTGTCAGCTGCCAAATAGCTTAGAAGTTCGTAAAACGGGAAATGGGTCACAGTCACGCTGAGCGGAAGGGCGCTTCGTGCATTTTGTTCACAGGGTACAATCTTCTCCCTAGGATCAAACTGTAGGAAAACTGGGTGCGTGCACAGCACTGATTGGCGCTGGCGTGTGACGTCACCCAGTGGGCTACTTTGACAGGTGGATGGGGCTGGACACCTGTCAGTCACCTGGCATCCCCAAGACACCAGGTGATGCAGCTTCAAAAAAATGTAATGGGATTAAATACGATCTATACATCATTTTCATAATATTTTCTTTTAATACAGTACATGCAGTAAATTTAACCCCTTTCTTCCACAGCCTTTCCCAATCTTCCAACATTATATTGTGTCCAACATCTCTTGCCCAATGAATCATCACAGATTTAACTTGTTCGTCCTTTGTATGCCATTCTAACAACAAATTATACTTTTTGGAGAGATTTTTAACCTTAGTGTCTAATTCCGTTTCCAATTTGGATTTTTCTGTTGCAAAACCATTTTTCTTATCAAGTTTATACAATTCGTTAATCTGATAATCTTGTAACCACCCATCCAATTTATCTGATTCCTTCCTGTGCTCTGATTCCTTCCTTCCTTCCTTTGGAAGGGGGCCCCCTTGAATTCAAGCTGAGGATGCAAAGGAGGAGTCAAGAGAATGTTCTGAGTACTCTCCTAATTGTTCGTCCTTTTAACTATGGCTTAAAGTTCCAAGCTTCACCTTGAATATTCCCATATATGACACCAGGACCAGGAGAAGAGGAAGTAAGTTTATCCTGCAAGGCCAATGTCTGAGGATGGGGGGTCCCCACCCCCGTTGTAAATGATAAGAGGGTAGTTATCCCTGGAGTGTGGAGGGCAGCGACCCACAGGGAAGCCCTGTGACTTTGTTTCCCCCCCAAAAAAGCGATTAGGGAGAAACACACTGGAATGCCAGGCTGTGCAAACAGGAGCTTGATATTTTAGAAAACCACAACCCTGGAGTAACAGCTTTGGCTGGAGTAACAACTATCTGTGTTCACAATCTGAGAGACTGTATGTGTGCATGTGTGTGCATGCGGGGTTCCTCATAGTCTGTTCTTCTGAACTTCTGCACCAGTAGGTGGCCCCCTCGGGCAGGAGAAAGCTGCCAAGAAAGAGGAGGGCATGCTTGTGGAAAGAAGGTTGTGCCATTTCTCTGAGATGGGCTAAGTGCACCTCATTTCTAATGCCCTTGCGTATAAATGCACACATGCACAAATATTTCTGCACCGTGAAGTGCTCAGCTTGCTTCTGACCCTGGAAATAGCACATATCCATTGTTACCAGTAGCCTTGTCCTTCATGAGTTTGCTTAATCACCTTTCAGTCATCTAAGGTAGCCGCCATCACTACCTCTCAGTGGTCTAAACCACTGAGCCTCTTGGGCTTGCCAATCAGAAGGTTGGTGGTTCGAATCCCCGTGACGGAGTGAGCTCCCATTGCTATTTCCCAGATTCCATCCCAGCTCTTAGCAGGCAACACAAATATTTAATGCAGGGATGGAGGGAGGGTGATCTGCAATTGACAGCAATTGATCTGGATTGGAACTGGACCCAGAGTCATAATTATCAGCTGTTGCAGAAGCTTCTTTTGGAAAACAGGCTCCCACCAGTTAACTTAGAATCACAAAGGTAAAGGCAAAGGGACTCCTGACCATTAGGTCCAGTCGTGACCGACTCTGGGGTTGCGGCACTCATCTCAGTTTATTGGCCGAGGGAGCCGGCGTACAGCTTCTGGGTCATGTAGCCAGCATGACTAAGCTGCTTCTGGCGAACCAGAGCAGCGCACGGAAACGCCGTTTACCTTCCCGCCAGAGCGGTACCTATTTATCTACTTGCACTTTGAGGTGCTTTCGAATTGCTAGGTTGGCAGGAGCAGGGACCGAGCAACGGGAGCTCATCCCGTTACGGGGATTCGAACCGCCGACCTTCTGATCAGCAACCCCTAAGCTCTGTGGTTTAACCCACAGCGCCACCCACGTCCAAACTTAGAATCGTAGAATTGTAAAATTTGAAGGGACCATCTGGCCCAGAACTTTCCAAATTTTTCATGTTGGTGACACACCTTTTAGATACGGTTCATTTCGTGACACAGTTATTCAGTTTTACTAACAAACCGGAAGTTAAACTAACAAATTTCCAGCCCCAGGAGGAGCGCACGGAGTGTTTGTGCAACACACCTACACACGGCAGCTGACACAGTAACGTGTCATGACACACAGTTTGGAAAGCTCTGATCTAGTGCAACCCTGTGCAATGCAGGAATCTTTTACCCAAGTGGGACTCGAATCCACAACCCTGAGATTAAGAGCCTCATGCTGTACCAACGGAACTCTCTCAATGCTATAGGACTTCTTTCATAATGTGCTAAAGCACAACCAGTGTGCTCCGTGGCTGAGTGGGGATTTGAACCCTGGTTTCTCAGGTCCTAGGTCAACACTCTTATTTCTTTTCTTGCATTCATCAGAATTTGTGTGCTGCTTAATAGTCAATGAAACCTCTTAAGCAGTTTACAAAGGAAAGTTAGTTTAGTATAACCACATGAAGAAATAATTTCTTTCTTCTAGTGTAAACCTGTGGTGATCAATTCGACCGGGCCATCCAAAGTTCTGGCGTTTTGGCTGACCATGGTTAAAACGATGGTTCAAAGAAACACAGCAATGACAATTCCCTGCTAGCTAATTGGATTCTTCCTGTGCAGAGTGGAACTCACACCACAGAAAAGCAACAGGCTCCTTTCATGTATTCAGCTCTAAATGATGTTAGGAAATCAAATTACGCCTACTTGGGAGTCCGTTCCAGAAGTGACCATTTGTCCCAACATCTGTGCCTTATGGAAAAGAACCAGGAGAGTTTCATCCATTTGGTATATTCCAGCTACAGATGGCGCTCATGTGGCAAGTGGGAGAGTCGAAATCCCTCCCCCACAAATAAAAGTAAACAAATTGAGCTTTTTTAAAAAGAAATAAATGGCTAAACTGGTATTTTTTTCTTCATTTGAGTTTTTGTTCTGATCTTCTTGAGATCTAGGGCAGAAAACAAGAGAACAATTCCTTGCTTATGCCCAAGAAGTACTCCCTAACTGGAAAGGTCTCTCCAAATGAATCTGAGGTCATCCGCCAAGACGTCTCCAGACGGGCCCCTCGACATATCAGCAGGCAGCTTCCATGATCCCTCCACAAATGCTGTTCTCCAAGACGGTCCAGGACAGAGAAAAGAAAGTCCTTCTTCACGCAGCTCATTGTTAACCTGTGGAACTCCCTCCCACAGGAGCCAGTGATTGCCGCCAAGCTAGATGGCTTTAAAGGACGATTTGACAAATTCATGAAAGAGAGAGGGCTTTTGGCAGATACTAGCCAGGGTGGCTATATTTTGCCTTCACAGTCAGAGTCAGTTAGTTGTTGCTGGCACCCGTCTGTCTCGAGGGACAATGTGCCTTCGGGGGTGAAGTCAAACCTATGCGTTAGCTGCCCCAAAGTGACCTCTGTGGGGTGTAAGCCTGGGCTGTGTGCATGGAGGTCCTGGGCTGCCCAGATGACAACACCCCCCTCAAGGAGGGGATGGAGCAGCATAGGCTCCAGGATGAAAAGAGTGACTCCCCACCCCAACTGACACTCCTTGACCTCCCATTTTTTGGTGGGATGTAATCCACTGGGAGCAGTCAAATACAACATTCCTTGTTTTCCTAGAGTGGACATGCAGGGGAATGTTTGGTCCAGCCAGTCAAAAACTTCCTGTTTCCTCCTGGCTGGAGCATCCTTCCTTTTGCATGTGACTAGTAGGTGGGCGTGACCTTACCTGTCCAGGTAACAAAAGGACAAGGCACGCAGCACACTCTCTCTTTTTCACTTCCTTTGTCATTTGAGCAGCTTCTTAGCTAGGAATGGTCCTGCTAGCTTCTCAGCTAGCAGAAGAACTGGGATTATTCCCCCATATGGGGTAGAGCCACATGTACATATTTGTAACTAAGTCTGCCTTCAGGGATCCAACCGTGAACTGATGTGAGTAAACTTCTTTTATTGACTTTGAGTAAGATTGTCATGTCTTTACTCTTTTAAGAGGGATTCAAGGGAATTTACCAGGAACGTACAATTCAATCCGAGACAGACTAAATTGTATAATAGTCAGAGGCTCACACGAGCCTGCAACCAGCTATCTGCTGTGCGTTTAAAAGAGGAATGTAAACTTTGCTCAGTAAAGGAACTTGCTAACACAAGGTAAAGGTAAAGGGACCCCTGACCATTAGGTCCAGTCGTGGCCGACTCTGGAGTTGCGGCGCTCATCTTGCTTCATTGGCCGAGGGAGCTGGCCAGCATGACTGAGCCGCTTCTGGCGAACCAGAGCAGCACACGGAAACGCCGTTTACCTTCCCGCCGGAGAGGTACCTATTTATCTACTTGCACTATGACGTGCTTTTGAACTGCTAGGTGGGCAGGAGCAGGGACTGAGCAATGGGAGCTCACCCCGTCGCGGGGATTCGAACCGCCGACCTTCTGATCGGCAAGTCCTAGGCTCTGTGGTTTAACCCACAGCGCCACCCGCGTCCCCAACACAAGTTAGGAAGGATATTAATAAACAATATATCCTCTCCTGCCACCCTGAACATTCCCAAAAAAATTTGTCCCCCCTCCTTGCAGACCATCTCCACCACCATTATGCCAACAGGACGTGCCACACATGCCCTCTAGCATCCTAAGAAAACGCCTTAATCCTGATTTGATTAGATTTGATTGTTTGGTGGATTTACAGAAAGAAAAAAACACACACACCCCAATAAATAAATTTTAGAAAGGGGCAAGATTGCCAACGGATACACAAAGCATAACAAAACCCCAAGACTCCTTGCACTCCTCTCTGCTCCCTTTTTCTTCCCACCCAGGGTGGTCCTGCCCCCTGCCCGGCCCTCAGAGCTGGCACGTCCCATGGGGCTGGGTCTTGGTGCCAGCAGTCTCCTCCTTGCCTGTTTTCCAGCTGTGAGCTCCCCAAGGGAGGAGGCCAGCAGTGGTGGCCATGGAGAGGCTATGGAAAAGCAATGGGATTATTAACCCTTGCAGCTGCGGCAAGCTTGGCAGTGGTGCTGGTGAAGGAAATAGGGACACTCTGGGATCAAATTGGAAGATGGGACGGCTTTCGTGATTCTGGTACTGTTCCTGGGAAATCAGGACATTGGGAGGGGATGGAGCAGGACCGCTGGGGGGGGGTCTCCCGAGAAGGTGTGGCTTGGGGAGAACCTGGTTGGGGGCAGACAGAGAAAACCAAAGGGCTGAGTTTGGCCCCTGGGCTCTGAGGTTCTCCAGATGGATAGGGGGGCAAGGGAGGAGTTGGGTTCAAAACACCCCACAAACATTTTTAGTACAGTGGTACCTCAGGTTAAATACTTAATTCGTTCCGGAGGTCTGTTCTTAACCTGAAACTGTTCTTAACCTGAAGCACAACTTTAGCTAATGGGGCCTCCTGCTGCTGCCGGGCCGCTGGAGCACAATTTCTGTTCTCATCCTGAAGCAAAGTTCTTAACCTGAAGCACTATTTTTGGGTTAGCGGAGTCTGTAACCTGAAGCGTATGTAACATGAGGTACCATTGTACATGCTGAGCAGGAAAGGGTTGTTAACTGTTTTGGTGCTGGCCATTTGTCACCCAAACACACACACACACACACACACACACACACACACACCTTTTTCTCCTCCACAGGGAAAAGGATACAGATCCACTTAGCTCAGGGGTCAGCAGACTTTTTCAGCAGGGGGCCAGTCCACTGTCTCTCAGACCTTGTGGGGTGCCGGACTATATTTTGAAGAAGAAAATGAACGAATTCCTATGCCCCACAAATAACCCAGAGATGCATTTTAAATGAAAGGACACATTCTACTCATGTAAAAACATGCTGATTCCCAAACTGTCCACAGGCCGGCTTTAGAAGGCGATTGGGCCAGATCTGGCCCCTGGGCCTTAGTTTGCCTACCCATGCCTTAGCTTTTCCTCTGCAGGGAGCCAAGCAGTTGGAGCTGGAAGGTGGGCAATTCTGGAAGGCTGAAATGTGCCTTCATGAAGGCAATACAGGAGTGAAATTTCCACCAGGGAGAACGCAGGTGGATGCTGTCAACATCAGGGTGTGTGGGTGTGTATCTGTAAACTGGGGCTTTGCCACTCTCAACCGCTTTTGAATTTTTGAATTTATTGTTATCCACGCTTTATACTGCATTTTATGCTGTTTTTTTGTTGCATCAATTAAGTGTTTTAAATTTGTTGTTAGCCACCCTGAGCCTGCTTTTCTGAACCGGGAAGGGTGTGGTATAAATAAAAAATTATTATTACTATTATTATTATTATTATTATTATTATCCCATCACTCATTCCTTTGCAGAGGAAGGAGGGCACTAGCAACCTCCCTAACAGATGGTGAGTTTTCTAAGGGTAGGAAAACACATTCCCTCAGCGCTGCATTTTGAACACTCAGCACCAGAGATCACTCCAGGATGACAGACGTCTCTCTTGCCTCCCCCAATCTCTGTTCTTGAATACAGATTTTTATATAGAAAGGGAAAGAGAAATCCCTGAATGCGTAGAGCTATCCTTGCTTTCTCTCGCTGTTGAAGATCACTGGGAGATGCTTCCCTCTGCCTGAGATGGGTCTTTAAAAATAGAACCCACCTTTGATTTTTATTATTTTGGCAGATGTGCAATTCAGAAGGTTTAAGAGACGTCCCCCCCAACCCTGGCAATCTCTACGATTCCCCCCCTCCTGGTTCGCCTTCTCCCCCTCCTCCTCCTCCTTGTTTACCAAGTGCAGTCACACACTCTTGGCGCAAAAATGCACTCCTCAGCAATTTTTCACACTTTCGCTGGAACACACAGCAAGGTTATTGCCAAGAGGAGCAAACTATTTCAGGCAAGGAGTTGCTTCCAGCAACAGGGATGGAAGGGAAACAATGTCTGTGTCGGGAATCTTTTAGGATGCATCCCGTGTTCCTTCCTGACGAACCTTCTCTCCTCAAATTGTTAAGCAGCGGGTTTCGTTTATCCTCTCCAGCATATCAAAATTATGATTTTTGGGGGTTTTCTGACAGGGGAGGGGGATGCACTACAAGACTCTTCCAACCCCCTCAGAGCAGGAGCAACCATCCTTTTTCAGAGTAATTGACGGGCTCCACTTTGCTCCATATGAGGTGATAACGAGTCTTTCAAGTCTCCCTGTTCTTTGTGACACTTCAGCACAGAGTAGTCTTTGCAAGCTTGGTGGCCCAGCCAGCATGGTGCTTATATTTCAAAAACATATGGAGAGCACTAAGAGGGAGTCAGAGAATAATAATTTGGGGGGGTGGGATTGGAACAGGAGTGCACTCATTGGATATGATCCCCATTAGTGAAAAAGGCACCCTGTGCGAATTCAGCTCTATTCATATAGGTCCAACGTGGGACTTGAACACACGAACATTGGATGAAGAGTCCTGTGGCCTCACACATTTACTGATTCCTTGGGGTCCCCCCCCAAACTCTTTATGTGATCTCAGCCAATCAGGGATCACATAGTGAATATGACGATATTGTGGCACCCTTTGACAGACAAATGAGGGTGTGTTGCCTTGTTTGTATGTTTTTATAAGGATTTATCTTCTGCATTATGATTATTTCTAATTAACACTTTTAAAAATTATATTTATTATTGCCTGTGTGGTATCTTGTGAGCCGCTTTGAGCACAACTGTGGAAAAGTGGCATATAAGTAAACTGATGATGATAAATGAGGAGGGGTGGGGAAGAGGAGGCATGTGTTTTTGGAGGATGGCACTTCTGATTTTAATGAGGTTGAAAGAGGAGAGCACAAAATATGGTCTGAAGCTCAATATCAAAAAAACTAAGATCATGGCCACTGGTCCCATCACCTCCTGGCAAACAGAAGGGGAAGAAATGGAGGCCGTGAGAGGTTTTACTTTCTTGGGCTCCATGATCACTGCAGATGGTGACAGCAGTCACAAAATTAGAAGATGCCTGCTTCTTGGGAGAAAAGCAAGGACAAACCTAGACAGCATCTTAAAAAGCAGAGACATCACCTTGCCAACAAAGGTCCATATAGTTAAAGCTATGGTTTTCCCAGTAGTGATGTATGGAAGTGAGAACTGGATCACAAAGAAGGCTGATGCTTTTGAATTCTGGTGCTGGAGGAGACTCTTGTGAGTCCCATGGACTGCAAGAGGATCAAACTTATTCTTAAGGAAATCAGCCCTGAGTGCTCATTGGAAGGACAGATCATGAAGCTGAGGCTCCAAGACTTTGGCCACCTCATGAGAAGAGAAGACTCCCTGGAAAAGACCCTGATGTTGGGAAAGATGGATGGCACAAGGAGAAGGGGACGACAGAGGACGAGATGGTTGGACAGTGTTCTCAAAGCTACCAGCATGAGTTTGACCAAACTGCAGGAGGCAGTGGAAGACAGGAGTGCCTGGCGTGCTCTGGTCCAGGGGGTCACAAAGAATAGGACATGACTAAACGACTAAACAACAGCAACTTCTGGTTTTGCCAGGTTGCCCGATGGCAGCATCATTGCATGAGGGCACAAAACTGTAGGGAGTGCCAGGACTTGTACCCTCCACCCACACAATAGGCAAACATTATTTATTTTTCTGCACCCTCTTCAACCCCTCTCAACATTGCAGAAAGTGGGTGGGGCTTTTGGAGTGGGTGGCTCGGTCACGATTTATGGAAATCCGTCCCCTATCGCGGCTCAGATCTCAGCTGCCCCTCTGCCCTTGTTCCTGGCGTGCAGAATCCAACCATATCCACCTTGCCTCCCTCTGCACCACCGGGGTGCTACAAACTTCCCTTTATTGGCAGTGGCGTAGCGTGGGGGGTGCAGGGGGGCCGGCCGCACCAGGCGCAACATCTGGGGGGGCGCTCGCACTCGCAGCTCTCTGCCCCTACCGGGTTAGGGGGCACAAATTACTTGCCCCGGGTGCTGACAACCCACGCTACGCCACTGTTTATTGGTGTCCTCGCAGAAGCATCAGCTTCTCAAGGGCACCTGTTCCCTTCAACAAAGAACATGCCAAGCACCGGGTTTTTCTGCCTCACTCAGCTTTTCTGATTATGGAAAGGGGGGTGGGGAGGGAAACAGGCCTCAAAGCCCCAGGCAGGTATTTGTGAATTAAGGAGGAGAGGGGAGGGAGATCTATAGCAGCAGCCCATTCACTCTCTTGCCTCTCCTGCTATTCCCTGAGTCCCTGCTCAAGAACACTTGACACTGATTGCTCCTTAATGCACTAAAAGCACCTTCTCTCTCTGTCAGATTCCTGGATTCTCTCCCTCCCACCTTTTCAGCGCATGCTTATGCACTGAGAAGAGAGAAACAAAAAAAGGAGGTCTCCTTCATCTGGGCTGGCATCCTGTTTCTAAGAGTGGCTATTAATCCGCCGATCAATTAGCGAGCTGTTAGTTGCCCTATATCCAAATTCTCTGGGTAATGAACTGTTGAGCAATTTAAAAACGGTTGCAAATCGCAAACCACAACCCAGGGGCTACAATGACACTTGGGAAATGGAGATAGGTAAAGGGACCCCTGACCATTAGGTCCAGTCGTGTCTGACTCTGGGGTTGCGGTGCTCATCTCGCTTTACTGGCCGAGGGAGCCAGCGTACAGCTTCCGGGTCATGTGGCCAGCATGACAAAGCCGCTTCTGGCGAACGAGAGCAGCTCACGGAAACGCCATTTACCTTCCCGCCGGAGCGGTACCTATTTATCTACTTGCACTTGGATGTGCTTTCGAACTGCTAGGTTGGCAGGAGCAGGGACCGAGCAACGGGAGCTCACCCCGTCACGGGGATTCGAACCGCCAACCTTCTGATCAGCAAGTCCTAGGCTCTGTGGTTTAACCCACAGCGCCACCTGTGTCCCCAGGGAAATGGAGAAGCCATCACCAAAACAGAGACCAACCGTATTGCCAGCTGGAGTTAAATAATTTAATCATAAAAGCCGTGCAGCTTGGTTACGGTTGAATCACATTCTAACTGTTCAAAATATAGTGAGTTTAAGAAAATATCAAGATAATAAGCAATCAGGGATCCTGTGTTTATTTTACTGCACATATCATGCCTGTTCCTTGTCCATAGCACCTGACATTCAAAAGCGCACTTTCTGAAGGAGGTTCCATTGAACTCAGTAGTGTAGCATGGGAGGCAGTGCCCCGGGCACAAAATTCTGAGGGGGCACAACCAGTTGCTCCCATGCAGGATGCTGCACAGGTCCCCATCCTGTCCTGGCGAAGGCAGCAGAGCAGCCCAGGCCTGGCCCTCCTCTCCACAGGCGTGGGGGGGGGATTTGCCCGCCAAGGGCTTTGTTGGCCGGCCAGGATCCCCACCCCTATGCGGGCAGGCAGGTGGCGTAGCACAGCCCCACTTGGCTCCGGTGGGGAAGGAGGCATCCCAACAGCGACGGCTTGTGCACCCCGGACTCAGGCAACCCACGGTATGCCACTGATTGAACTGTCATGGATAATCATCCATTGCCATGAATTCGAATTCTCCTTTTAAGAACCACCCCAAACTCCTCACCCCAAGTTGCTATTTGCCTGAGTAGAAAAGCAGCCACTGTCCTAAAAGTCCAGCAGGATCAGACCAAAGGCCCCCTCTAGTTCAGTGCAGAGGCCAACCAGATGTCTATGGGAAACCTGCAAGCAGAACAGGAGCATAGAATCACAGAATGTGGGATGTATCATCACTGAAGCAGTCAAATACAACATTTCCTGTTTCCTAGAGTGAACACACAGGGGGCGGGTAGATGGGCGTGACCCCAGCAGACCCTATAAAAGAGCTAGTCATGCAACCATCTTCCTCTTCTGCCTTTTTTGCTCTTTTGCCATCTTCCTCTCTGCTGGCCCTTAGCCAGCAGCACACGGCTCTCATCCTTAAAGAGGATGGAAGCCACAAAGCAGAAAGTCTGAGGCCTAACTCAGATTTCTTTTCTCTACAAATGTAACTGTAACCACGAGATGAAGCCTGCCTTCAGAATACTGCTTTGGACTGAATGTAAGTAAACTCTTACTTTTAATCAAGACTATCGTGTTATTATTAGTTTAAGAGGGAAATAAAAGGGGAAACTTACCAGGAACAAGCCAGACTGGACAAGCCAGACTGGACTGCTTAACTTAAAGCAGCCTTTCTCAACCTGTGGGTCCCCAGATGTTGTTGGACTACAACTCCCATCACCCCTAGCTAGCAAGGCCAGAGCTCAGAGATGATGGGAGTTGTAGTCCAACCACATCTGGGGACCCACAGGTTGAGAACCGCTGACTTAAAGAATTCTAACGAATCATCAACTTGCTTCCATCAGTCTTCAAGGGAATGTGCTCTGCTGCTTGCTCACTAGCGTGAGTGAGGAGGGATAATATTTAATCAATATATCCTCTCCTACTTTCCTCAGCATTCCCACACAGAATTGTAGTGCTGGCAGGGACCCAAAGGGTCATCCAGCCCAACTCCTGCAATGCAGGACGCATAGCTAAAACGGTGTGGCCGCCCTTTTCTGGGCAAGATCCCCAGTATCTGGTGATGTGTCCACCATGATTAGGGACAGCGTCTCCACCCCCATCGTTCTACCAGGACACTGATGTCCAGCGCCAAGGGCCTTCTGGCAGTTCCCTCGCTGCGAGAAGCCAAGTTACAGGGAACCAGGCAGTGGGCCTTCTCGGTGGTGGCACCTGCCCTGTGGAACGCCCTCCCACCAGATGTCAAAGAGAACAACTACCAGACTTTTAGAAGACATCTGAAGGCAGCCCTGTTTAGGGAAGCTTTTAATGTTTGATGCATTACTGTATTTTAATATTTTGTTGGAAGCTGCCCAGAGTGGCTGGGGAAGCCCAGCCAGATGGGCAGGGTATAAATAATAAATTATTATTATTATTATAACTCCCCTCCTGGGCCAAATGCTGCATTTGCGAGGGCTGGCACTTTTCTAGCTGAGGTGGGGCCAAGCTAGCCACCTCTACCACTTCTGCAGTGCATTTTAACTCCTAAAGCAGGAGTTGAAGGATCTCAGGGGAACTGGTAGGAAAAGACTTTGCACATGCCCTCCTTTCAAGTTTCCAGGTTTCTGCAGCCTCCCTGGGCAGAACAGGCCTGCCAAGACTTTGAAGCGGAAAGCTTTTGACAGCTCATCTTCTCACTCAGCCCAGGACAGCTTAATCCTTCCCCCTGATTCTTGCTTTCCTTCCTGAAATATCTGTTTTTCTTTACAGGGAGGGAGGGAGGGAAGGAAGGAAGGGAGACCTTCTCAGAAGCAGCTCTGACTTGTGATCAAAGATGTTGCGTTTTCTCCAAATGTGCTGAGCTGCACGGAGCAGGCAGCCCACAATTCAGGAAAGGGGAGGTTAATCTGCGTCCCTCTGTTCCTCCTCAGCCTACTTTCAAAGGGTCTCTCCACGCAGCCAGTTCAGACCTCTGGCACAAGCGTTCAGAGCCTGCTTGGGGGGGGGGAGAAAAGGGGGGGCAGAAAGAGACAGTGTAGACTAGTGGTTAGAGTGTTGGGCTAAGGCCCGAGTTCAAATCCTCACTCAGCCATGAAGCTCATTGGGTGACCTTGGGATGGTCATTCTCTCTTTCTTAGCCTAACCTACCTCACAGGGTTGTTGTATATGTACAATAGGCAGGAGGAGAGCTCCTTGGGGGAAAGGTGGGGTTATGTGTGCAATTTAATACATGAAATAAAAATAAATAGGGGGGAGGGAGACACTGTAATATGGACTCTGACTGGCAGCAGCTGTCAAGGGTTTCTGGCAGGAGATAGTCCTAGCCCTACCTGGAAAGGCCGGGGATTGAACCTGCGACCTTCTGCGTGCAGAGCAGAAGTTCTACCACTGAGCTACGGCCCTTCACTCCACAGCAGTGCAGAGAGGATGGACCTGCTCATGGAGGGCATCTTGCCTCAGCCTTCACAACCCCATGTCAGGGACCGGGCAGTGGAGGAGGGGTGGAGACTCTCTCCCCAGCCTGACCCTTCCAGAGAAGAAGACAGTTCAGAATTACAACAGAGGTTTGAGGGAGATCACAGCTCAGATCAAATCTCAGATCAAATCTATGCTTCCAGGTATAGTGGAAGACAGAAGTGCCTGGCGTGCTCTGGTCCATGGGGTCACGAAGAGTCGGACACGACTAAACGACTAAACAACAACATGCTTCCAGGTGCCATAAGAAAGCTGCAGAGATAGCGCAGGATAGTGCGCACCCCGGAAATGATCTCTTTCAGCTTCTGCCTTCTTGAAGAAGGTACAGGGTTATTAAGACTAGGAGTAGCCGCCTGAGAAACAGTTTCTATCCAAATGCGATTTTGGTTTTAAACACAGTGTAAGATAGTCTCTGTGGGAGTATATTGTATTCAATTATGGGGTATCAGAGTTTTTAGGGGGTTAACCAGGTTGGGATAGCTGGGATAGCAGGCTTGTTGGTTTTTGAATGTCTGATGTAGAGTTTTTCAATTTCATTGTTCTGTATGGGTTAATGACAATAAAGATTATCGTATCGTAGAGGCAGATGAGGGGGAAAGCTGGGAAATAATGGGAGAGGAGGAAGAAGAAGCACGGGGGGGGGGGGAGCTGATGGACACAGTGTCTTTGGAAAACATTCCAGACCCAGCCTCTCCCAGAACCTGGCAGGCATTGAAAGTAGGAGAGCAGAGAGCTCAGAGGCAGAGGGCACATCTCAGCACCCGTAGTATTCCAAGAAGCTGCATTTCTAAACCTCTCTGTGAATATTTAACAAAAAGCAGTTGGTAGGAACTTTCCTTGTCTTATCCATTCCTGGCAACCTACTGTCGGGGGTTAGATCCTCTGACGACTGACACCCCACAACCCTGGAGCTGGTACTGTAGAAAGTGTCCCTATGTCCTAGGGAGAAATCCCAAAGGGAAGGATTGCCACACCCAGGGATGGCTCGAGATGTTTTGCCACTCAAGTGTGTGCAGCCCCAAATGGGGCAAACCCTGACACAGCAAAGGCTTTTGGGGTGCACGCCCCTTTGACCACACACCATTCCATTGGCTCACCTGAAGAGCAGAGCTGTTGGTAGAGTCTATGGAGCCATTCCTTCAAACTCATCCATCAGAGAATGTCCCCCTTCACTGAATGCCTGATTGACTTGTGGAACTCACTGCCACAAGATGCGGTAATGGCTGGTCAACTCCAGCAGGGTTCTTCTTATTAATCTGGCAGTCAGTAAAATGTAGATGAACCATCATTTTAACCAAAAGTTCACTACCAGCATCCTTTGAAGACCTTTAGGGAGGCAGTATGGTGTAGTGGGCAGCGTGACCCAGGGAGACGCAGATTCAAATACACGTCCAGTTCTGAAGTCGAAGGGGTGTCCTTGAGCCAGTCACTCCCTCCCAGTCTCACTCCCTCACCTGGACAGGTGAGGTTTTAGGATAAACAGGGTGGGGAAGAGAGTGCCTGTTCCCTGAGCAACTTGCAGGAAAGTGTCAGAAACATTAAGGGTAAAGGTAAAGGGACCCCTGACCATTAGGTCCAGTCACGGATGACTCTGGGGCTGCGGTGCTCATCTTGCTTTATTGGCTGAGGGAGCCGGCGTTTGTCCGCAGACAGCTTCCGGGTCATGTGGCCAGCATGACTAAGCCGCTTCTGGCGAACCAGAGCAGCGCACGGAAACGCCATTTACCTTCCCGCCGGAGCGGTACCTATTTATCTACTTGCACTTGGATGTGCTTTCGAACTGCTAGGTTGGCAGGAGCAGGGACCGAGCAACGGGAGCTCACCCCATTGCGGGGATTCAAACCACCGACCTAGACCACAGCGCCACCCGCATCCCTTTAATTGTAGACGCACTAATTATGATTTGGCCACCGGTGGCGCTGTGGGTTAAACCACGGAGCCTAGGACTTGCCGATCAGAAGGTTGGCGGTTCAAATCCCCGTGACGGGGTGAGCTCCCGTTGCTCGGTCCCTGCTCCTGCCAACCTAGCAGTTCGGAAGCACGTCATAGTGCAAGTAGATAAATAGGTACCGCTCCGACGGGAAGGTAAATGGCGTTTCCATGCGCTGCTTTGGTTCGCCAGAAGTGGCTTAGTCATGCTGGCCACATGACCCGGAAGCTGTACGTTGGCTCCCTTGGCCAATAAAGCGAGATGAGCGCCACAACCCCAGAGTCGGACATGACTGGACCTAATGGTCAGGGGTCCCCTTTACCTTTACCTAAAAATGGACCCTCCCCGATAAATTAATCAATAGAAACTTTTAGTTGATTAATCTACCGTTGAATGGATTGAGACGCAGCTCTTTGCACATCCTGTTCCATTGAAGGGAAAGGGGAAGCGCCTGCATACAGGACTGCTCTCTCTCTTTCTGTGTGCACATGGAAGTCCTCATACCCTCAAGGGACAACTGTAGATGGGGGCAGGGAGGCTAAAGTGCAGATCTAACACAATGCAGCTACATGCATGGATGCTTGTAGCTGACAGCCTGGTAGGCCAATAGCAGCACGCTCTGCTGCTTTCTTCCTCTCTCCCTCTCCCTCTCCCTCTCTCTCTCTTTGCAGGGTTGTTCATGCTCTCCCCCCACACTCCGGAATCTTCCCCCCTGGGGAAAAGCAATCCATATGGTCTTGCTGCTTTCCTCTTGCCATTGATCTGCCAGCCCCCGCTGCCTGAGACAAGAGAGAGAGCTCTTGCCAGTCAATTTGCCTTTGTTTTGCCTCGGTTCCACCAGGGGAGAATCGACTCTCCAGTTCCTTGCGATGGTTAACAACCCCCCTCAGATGTCGTCCTGCAGGGTCCCAGGTGGAAAGGAAGGGGAACCGATGGAGCCTGCGCAAGACAGAGTCCCAGAGGAACACAGAAAGCTGCCTTAGCAGTGAATCAGATGCTTGGTCCACCTATTTCCATATTGCCAGCACAAACTGGCAGTAGCTTTCTAGGACATGGGTAGGCAAACTAAGGCCTGGGGGCTGGATGCGGCCCAATCGACCTTCTAAATCTGGCCCGTGGATGGTCCGGGAATCTGCGTGTTTTTACATGAGTAGAAGGTGTCCTTTTATTTAAAATGCATCTCTGGGTTATTTGTGGGGCATAGGAATTTGTTCATTATTATTTTTCAAAATACAGTCCGGCCCCCCACAAGGTCTGAGGGACAGTGGACTGGCCCCCTGCTGAAAAAGTTTGCTGACCCCTGACCTAATGTGCCCATCAAGAATCATGCCCTGTTTAGGGAAGTTTTTAATGTTTGATGTCATATTGTGTTTTAATTTGTTAGAAGCTGCCCAGAGTGGCTGGAGTAACCCAGTCAGATGGGCGGCATGAAAACAACATTATTATTATTATTATTATTATTATTATTATGCCACTGCAAAGATCGATGACTCTTGCTGCAAAACCTTGGAAAACATTTCATGCAAGCCATGCAGCACCACAACAAAATGTTGCAGCACAACAGTGAGAAATAAATTTAGATGCCCCCAGCTTTTATGTAAGCAGCATTTTGTGCATTCAGCACACCTGTGGGACTGTGGAGACGACAGCAGATCAGAGTTGCCTATCCACAGGGTAACAGCTGGGAAGTTGCCAAGGCTAAAAGGGAACATGGGGGAATGTGTTCATTGGCTGTATCCCAGGTCAAGGTCAGCTGCAGGTTTGTGGAGGGCCTGGGCAAACCCCCTCCTCTCTGGCTGGGCCCCAGTGAGCTTACCAGCCAGCAGCACTGGGGGCTAGTGAGCCAACATTTACATTTCCCACAATGCCCCAGAACTGCGCTCCGTTGGGGAATCAAAATGGCAGCTAGGCTCTGCCAGATGCTCAGAGCTCTGGGCTGGATAAAAAGGAGCTGCCAGGGTTTCTGGGACCCAGTCAGAAAGAAGCCTTTCTCAGGCAGGTACACAAGAGCCTTAAAAAACAGAACAAACCAACAACACCTGGAGATGTTGGGGCTTGACTGTGGGATGCAAAGTCAGCGCTGTGCTAATGAGCTACATCAGCTGCCTTCTCCAGGGTGTTCTGGACCACAGCTTCCACCTGACTGCATTGTAACTAAAGGACCCAGGTCACAACTTGATGGTGTGCATTCAGATTAGAATATCCAGCCCACAGCCAATGGTCAAAGATTAGGGGAGTTGTCATCCCATGTTGGCTATTCCTGATGCCTTCCTCCAGAGAGGGTGGCCGGTTAGGGATCTCTGAGCTCCATCTCCTCTCCCAGAGGGGGTCTCAGGAGGCAGGATGAAGGAAGGCATCAGTGACAGACTACAGCTCCCATCATTCTTGACCGTTGGCCATGCTGAGTGAGGATGGTGGGAGTTGTAGTCCACACCATCTGGAGAGGGTTAGGGACCACTGAGCTCCATCCCCTCTCGCAGAGGGGGTCTTAGGAGGCAGGACAAAGGACGGCATCAGAGGCAGCCAACATGGGATGACAACTCCATCATCCTTGATCATGGACTGAATATTTTCATGCACACCATCATCAATGTATGACTTGGGTGGTAAACTTACAAGGGCAAGAAATAGGGGAGGCGCTGTTCTTGGGGAGGATGGATAAGGAGAACAGCAACACAGTCCTTTAGTTGCAATGGAGGCAGCTGGAATCGTAGAATTGTAGTTGGAAGAGAACCTGAGGGTCATCTAGTCCAACCTCCTGCAATGCAGGAATCTTTTTGCACAGCGTGGGCTCAAACCCATGGCCCTGAGATTAAGAGTCTCATACTCTACCAACTGAGCTATCTGAGTGTAAGGTGAATCTGATTTCCCAATTTTAGCTTTGGCACAAATAGGGTAGCAAAGAAATGGAAAAGTTGTTCTCCACTTTGAAACCCACAAGGACCCTGTGAGGCAGGTAAGAGAGAGGTTGGCTCAAGGTCATCTAGAGAACCTCATGTCTTGAGGTATCATTTGACTTTTCCCTGTAGTGATGTATGGAAGTGAGAGCTGGACCATGAAGAAGGCTGATCCCCGAAGAATTGATACTTTTGAATTCTGGTGCTGGAGGAGACTCTTGAGAGTCCCGTGAACTGCAAGAAGATCAAACCTATCCATTCTGAAGGAAATCAGCCCTGAGTGCTCACTGGAAGGACAGATCCTGAAACTGAGGCTCCAATACTTTGGCCACCTCATGAGAAGAGAAGACTCCCGGGAAAAGACCCTGATGTTGGGAAAGATGGAGGGCACAAGGAGAAGGGGATGACAGATGATGAGATGGTTGGACAGTGTTCTTGAAGCTACCAGCATGAGTTTGACCAAACTGCGGGAGGCAGTGGAAGACAGGAGTGCCTGGTGTGCTCTGGTCCAGGGGGTCACGAAGAGTCGGACACGACTAAACGACTAAACAACAACAACAACACCCTAGGAATCTCATAGCTTGTCTGGGTCTCCCTGGTGCTAGTCCAGCACTCTGGTCACTACCTCTCACATGCTTGCAAAAATCATTTGGACACAGGAATGTTCTCTTCCCACCTCCTCCAAATTCCTTGTTCTTAAACAAGGAGGTCCTCTGCCCAAGAGTCACAAAAAATTGGGTTAAAATCTCCCTTTCTTTCTCTCTTTCTTCCATGACTCCATAGTATATCCTTGTAAATGGGAGGGCAGGTGTGAAATCTCATATGTCAGAGGGTGATTGAGCAGGATTCCCACTAACTGGGGGTGGGGGGGTGAAGGCTTGAATCCAACGCGCCCCGCCCCCGCCATGTGGTTCTCCTCCCCCTCCCACTAATTTCTGGCTCCCGTCCCTAAATCCCACATTCTCAAATATTCAAATCATTTTGCTTCCCATTCCCAACGTTTGCAAAAAAAGTTTCAGATCCTTTCAAAAGCCTACATTGTATGCAAGAAGCAGCCTTCTCAAAATAATGCGATAGAGGGTCGTTCCACAGATTATTCTGATCACAGGAGTTGGATTTCCTTAGCACAGTAATTTGATTTAAACAACACCAATCCAACAACCACAAAATATACAGCCTCATCAATCCCGTGTAGGTCTACTTGGAAGTAAGACCCACTGATCTCAATGGGACTGACCTGCTCCCAGGTATCATTGTTCACAGAGGAAAGATGGGGATCCCACTTTTGAATGAATGAATGAATGATATGTATCCATCAGAATTTAATTAAAATTTATGGAGGATCAGACTACCAGCAGCTCTTAGTCATGGTGGTTTAATCAAGCCTCCTTCTACAGGGACAGTATATCTCTTCACCCCAAATACTGGGGTGAAACAACAGGAGAGTTCCATTGTTTTCTTGCTACGAGCGTTTTAAGGGACTGACCGCTGCTAAAAGAGTGTGTGACCTTTTGATCTGGGCCAGCAACGCATCTCTTAAATCCTTAGAAATACATCCACACCCTTGACCTATTGAAGCTTCGCACAGCAGTCCTGTCGGGGCGAACGGACTGGAGCGACGCCACTCACAGAACCAAAACTCCTCGCAAAGGCCGCCGCATCCACTCAGGAAGGAATGTCATATTTCTGCAGACGCAGCAGTTTTACGCAGGGTGCACCTATGGGAATTCATCTGCAATAAACTAGCACGACAACACACACACACACAAAAACACGGAGCCGCTCTTTGCAAACGCGTCCTTCGCTTTCACATACATTGGGCCAATGCCTGAGGTTCGAGAAACACGCGCAGAATGCCCTTTCCAACACACACACACAGCTAGCCACGCACAAAACGCGAGAAAGACCAAACTTTTCCATGCCTCATTTTTTTGCAACGGCTCCGCTAAAGTCGTCCACCTGAGCTGTCCAACATGGGTTTCTGGTTGGCGGGGGAGAGAATGGGAGGTGCTGCTGCTGCTGCTTTGGGTCATAAACTTGGGAGATGGAAGAAGGCAGCCGAGGATGAAAGCGGCTGGGAGGAGAAGGGGGGAGGGGAGAACATCCTGCCTCTTTGTAGGACGAAATGGATGAAAGAAAGCAAGGAATGATCCCGAGTCCGGGCCGCGAACAGAGGCTTTGCCTATCCTACCTTGAGCTCAAAATCCCCCTTTTGCGGCCTTGGGGCGAGCAAACCCTATCCATCTCTCACTCTGCCCCCGCACCCCGTTTAAAAATGTATTTATACAAATCTCTTGGACTCAGAACATTTCTCCCCCCCTACAGAAAACTCTAAGATCTCACATTGCATAACGGAAAAAAGCATCCCAATTTAAGTACAGTATCATCTCTGCCCTCCCCCGTTTTGTGTACCCTTTCGGTAGTAGAGGGGGTGAGTGAGGACCACCGCCTGGTCCAAACTTTGCCCACCCAGACTTTGGGTGCCGATGTGTCATAACGCATCCAACGCTCTCTCACAAAGGTTATTTCTCCCTGCTCACTGGCGATGTACCCCCGGGGGGCAATCACACACACACACACAATTCTGTTCTAACGTTCAGAACTATCCCTCTGGTACAATGATGCTGTGGGAGGATGGGTGGGAGCAGTAGAAGAGACCCCCTCCCCGCGCTCACCCTGCAGGCAGTTTTGTGTTTTGTGGTGTGTTTTTTTAAAAAAAGATTGACACCACTTTTTGCTGCCTGTTTCCGTTCCCTAGAGGAGTCACGAAGGGGGGGCGGGAGGTGTCACTGTGTCCGGGGAACAGAGAGACCGAGGTAGAGGGAAGGAGAACTCCATTAACACCCACCGTGGTTATAATCGAGGTCCCTCTATGCAAAACGACCCAGACCTTGCCAAATAGGTTGCGCCCGCTCTTGGCTCACCCCGCACGCGCATAACCAAGTGTTTACCCTTTACACGCTCCTCCTGTCCCCTTCTAAGTCCCCTCTCCCTCATCCCCACACTTTCGCTCTCATCACTTCCTAGCATCGCACGCGCCCCCCGCCCAACCCGCCCTCCGACCCTTCTCAGAGCGCCTCTCGCCTCCTTACCATCCTCCACCCCAGGGTCGCCGGCTCCCAGGGGTCCCGCCAACTCATTGTAGGAAGTTTCCAAGGGGTGGTAAGTGGGGGTCGCCGGGCTGGGCTGGAAAGCGTCTGCCTTGATCTTCTTGACCAGGAAAGAGCGAGGCATCGTGCAAAGGACCCGAGACGCCGCCGCCGCCTCCGCCGCCTCTGGCTTCTGCTACTGCTGCTGCCGCCTCCTCCTGAGCCTCGATCAGCACTTTGGACAGCTCTCCGCTGGGGAGCGAGAGGAGGGAGGGGCGGAGATGGGAAGGGGGGGAGGAAAGTGGAGGAGGAGACAAGGTGGGGGGGGGGGAGAGGCGGGAACTGCCGAGGAATAGCTGAGGTCAGCAGCACGCTCCAGCCTCGCCCCTCCTTCCTCCCGTCTTTATATGGGACGCAGGCTGCGGGGAGTGGGGTTGGAGCGGGGGGGCGATCAGGTGGATTAATCCATCAACGGTCCCCCCGGACCGTCAGCACGTGAGCAAAGAACAGGCCGGGCTAAAGGATGGGGGCGTTGTGTGTTGGGGGGGGGAGTTGGGGGGATATTGCGAGAGGCAAGGCAAGGGTGGGAGGAGGGGAGGGGGCAGGGGAGGGAGAAAGTGAGAGGAGGGTGAAGCAGACAAGGGGACCGGGTTGGCAGTGCGGTGGGGGGGGGGGGAGGAAGAAAGAGAGAGAGAGAGAGAGGAGGGAGGGAGCACAGTATTCCATTGCCCATCTGGTTAACACTGCGACACACACACACACGTCTAGAGTCCAAGGTTTGAGCCTATAAACACCTTTTCCATATTATTCGGCTCTCCCACCCCCGCGCCAGCATATAACCCACGCGGCGACGGCCAATTTCAGCTCCGGGAGAAATTCGCAGGCAAAGTCTGTACCCAAGATGAGGAGAGAGGCCGGCGCTCTGAAATCTGTTGTAAAATCAGTGCAAGATAACTTTTTTCTTCCCCTTCTGCACCCCAGAAAATAAAATGGAATGCTGGTTGCCAGAGGGATGGAGGCAAAAATAGGTACCTATCGATCCCTATCGCTCCCTCCACTGCATCCGTCCCTTTCTCCCACCACTGAGCAAAGCTCCAGAACAGGCCGGCATTTTCTACTCCTTTTGGGAACACTCTTCCTCCCCTCCCCCCCCGCGCAACGTTTCCTAACACAGCTACCCAAATTCCTCGCCATGCAGGGAATTCCTCCGCCCCCCTCGTCGTTTCCCCTCCCCTTCCTCCTCCAAATCGACCCCCTCCCCTCGAGCAAAACTGCTCCTTCGACAGTCGTTTCTCTCCACCCGGAGGGTTGATTAACTCTTGCCTCCCCTCCCCTTCCTCGTGTCCAGCCAAAGGCAGAACAATAGGGACACGTGTCTGAGGAAGAAGAGGAGGGGAGAGGGGGGTGGGGAGGGGGGGGAAAGATTCTCTCTCTCTCTCTCTCCCCCCCCATCCCTCTCTTCACCACCATCCACGGTTTCTTTGTCTCGGTGCAAACCCAGGGTGGTTTAAGACCCAGCAAATTATGATTGTTATTGAGCCTGGATTCAAGGGCGGTGAGAAACCCTGATTTCCCAGTTCAACAAAAGGTGGAGTACTTTGACCTTTGGAAAAGCGAGAATGGAGAAGGAGAAGAGTCAGTTTATTCCTTTTATCTAGAGCCAGCTGAAGTTATTTCGCTGCTTGAGACGAGAAGGAGAAAACAAAACCCGCAATGGTGCCACCACCTTCCAAAATAACGCGAGGCACACAACCCGTGGAGGTAATTCTCCCCCACAAGCTCCAGTGCACAGCTCCTGGTTACTTTTCAACAGGAGACGTTTGCAGCGGATTGAACCCCAGACAGAGCCGGATTCAGGGCAGTGCGAATGGTTCAGTCGCACGGCAAGCAGGGTGTGTGTAGGCCGAATTCTGGCATCGCACAGGGCGCCACTGAAATCTGAGACCCCTGAGGGTCCACACCTCCAACTTGGTCTTCTGTTCCATAGCCCTTGATCACACCCCTAATCATCCAGCTGCCCCTTGTCTGTTTGTGAAGCTGCCTGTGTCTTCATTTGACCCCAGAAAAAGGCAGTGGTCATGGGAGGACAGCACAGACCCCAGCTTGTTCAAGGTGCATTGCAAACCTCTCTCTCTCTCTCTCTCTCTCTCTCTCTCTCTTTCTCTTTCTCTCTCTCTCTCTCTGTGTGTGTGTGTGTTCTGCACAGACTCTTCTTGACTTTGACCATTTCCAGTTCCTTCGGGGTATAAATCAGGGCCTGTTCCTTACTCTGTGCCATCAGGCCAGGACAGCCACTAAAAAGTCCACCAGGCGTTTGACGGATGGTGTTTCTTTGCCTGTTGCCAATGCCTGTCAGCTTGGGCCTAGCAGCCTGTTGAAATGGCTCCCTCTCAAATCCACAAAGCGTTGCCAGCCTGGGGATGAAATGAATCCTGTCCTCCGTGTCCTTGGATAATTCATTTTATCGCAACCATTGTTTGTTTAGCCTGTGGCCTAACTACTGCACCAGGAAGGCTACAGATTGCAAAGTTTCCCTGCAGCTTTCAGAGCAGAAACTAATGCACCGTCCTTAATCTAGGAAGCAGCTGCGGCAGACCTGTGACATTACAGATGTTGCCATATCCCAGATGTTCACATTATCCCAGACTATTGCCCATTCTGACTGGGGCTCAGGGATGGACAAATCTTTCCAATTCGGTTTCTTAAAGTTTCTCATTTTGGAAATAGTTCAGTTCTCCACATTTATGTAACTGCAAAGAGTCCCTATGAAAACCTGTCAGCATTTTTGCGCAAATTTCTCCTAATATTTGCATATTTACCTGCTATACACATTTTGCAAACTAATAATAGTAGTAGTACGCTATTACTTTTATTTGCATTTTAATGCCTGCTTTTTTGGAGCATATGCACTTTTCTACACATTATTTGGTTGGAATGCTTTGCTGCGAAATTTGGAGAAGTGTGACTTTTGGATACCTGTGTTTTATTTCATGCATTGTTGAGAGCTGTAGCTATTGGGGTGGGGGTGGGGGGCTGGCTACATTTTTTTTTGTTCTGGGTGAAGCCTCCAAAGGGGCTCCATTGAGGCTCCCAGCCTGTGTTTGTACACAGCAACGTTTCTTTGACCCGGGTGAAAATGAGCCTTGTTTCATTCCGCATTGTTTCAGGAACTGTGAATCATGTAAGGTAAAGGTAAAGGGACCCCTGATCATTAGGTCCAGTCGTGGCCGACTCTGGGGTTGCGGCGCTCATCTCGCTTTATTGGCTGAGGGAGCCGGCGTACAGCTTCCGGGTCATGTGGCCAGCATGACAAAGCCGCTTCTGGCGAACCAGAGCAGCGCACGGAAACGCCGTTTACCTTCCCGCCAGAGCGGTACCTATTTATCTGCTTGCACTTTGACGTGCTTTCAAACTGCTAGGTTGGCAGGAGCAGGGACCGAGCAACGGGAGCTCACCTCATCGCGGGGATTCGAACCGCCAACCTTCTGATTAGCAAGTCCTAGGCTCTGTGGTTTAACCCACAGCGCTACCCGCGTCCCGCATGAATCATGTAGGCTTGCATTAAAATGTGAACAGTGTCAAATTTCTCCTCTCATCCCTACTGGGGGCTGATGGGATTTGGAGTCCCACAACCTGCCCTGTGCAGTTTTTCTTTTAAAATGAAATTTCAAAAAAAAAACAAAAAAACAACCCTTGAAATAAAATTTATTTTGAAATTGGTATTTCAATGATATACATATTGTATATAAACACAGAATGGAAATTAAATATAACAATAAATAAAAAGTAAACAATAGCCTGCGCCCCTCCACCCTGGGCCACAAGCCAGGTAAATGATCGTATCACTGCTGCCTGTTTGATGCATTTTGTGTGTTGCTCTTGCAGGGATGATTCTTCAACATCAACTTTGTTGGACTAGTCAAGTTGTTCGGATGCTTGATTATTGTCTTCCAAAGCAACTACTCTATTCCAAACTTAAAAATGGAAAGCGTAATGCTGGTGGTCAACAAAAGAGGTTCAAAGACTCAAGGCAAATCTTTAAAAAATGTAGTATAAACGCCGACAACTAGGAAACACTGACCTGCGAGTGCTCCAGTTGGAAAACAGCTTTTACCAAAGGTGTCGTAGACTCTGAAAAAGCAGGAATTCAGGGTGAAAAGGAGACACGTGCTAAGAGGAAGCCATGCTTGGCAAATCCACGCTGAGATCAACTCCCACCTGGAAAGCAATGTCCCCACTGTGGAAGGACGTGTGGATCCAGAATTGGCCTCCATAGTCACAGACTCATTGTTAAAACCGTGTTTATGGAAGGCAATCTTACTCGGCTACGAGGGATCGCCAAAGAAGATGACGACTTTGGTATCTGACCCCACTCCCCACCAGCATGGGGCCCCTGGATGTGGCCCCACAGGCTGAAAAAGACCCCTGATGCAAGCTGATGGCCCTGTATGTTGTTGCTGTTGATGCCAGTGCCGGTGTCACACCCTAGAAAACAGGAAGATGGAAAGGAGACCAGACAAAGCCCAGATGGCCACCGCTTCTGGACACACAACCAGAGTTTTTGACCTCTCCATCCAAAAGAAGCTTGTAATTGCAACTTCTCTTTCTTTCTCTTATGCTTCAACCTGCCCAAGATGGGTTGGCCTCTATGTTTATTGTATTCATATCCCCCCTTCTCCCTTCCCAGGAGCTCAAGGAGGTGTACGTGGTTCTCCCTGCTTCTCATTTAATGCCCACAACAACCCCGTGAGGTAGGTTAGACTGAGAGACAATGACTGGCACAAGGTCAGCCAGAGAACTTCATCGCCAAGGGAGAATTCGAACTCTGCCCTTGTCTGCCCAAGTCTGAAACTCTAACCATTGCATCCCACTGGCTTTCTGTATCTGTTTCCCCTTCCTCAATACAGCCCCGTACTCTTAACTCCTTCACCACCCCCACTTTTTTTTTAAACCCTCACCAACCTCACATTGGGGGCTATCACATTCAGTTGAGGAAAATTATTTCCATACAGCTGCCCAGAAAGCCACGAATTTTAAGATCATTGTGGGTTGCTGGAGGCTGGGGGGGTCCTTTCTTCCTAGCGTGGAAGAAAAGGTTTGCATTCTTCCTTGTGTGTCTCTCCCCTCTGTCCTTTTTTGTGCATGGAGAAGGGGGTTCTTTGTGTGCATTTGGGTAGGGGGGCTGCACACAGAGGCTTATTGCAGTCAGCAGTATTAATGCCACTCGGCAGCTCTGATTGCCGGTTATTAGCATATATTATCTCAGTCCCCTGCTCCTGAAAAGAGGGGGGGCTATTCTCTTTCTCCCCTCCCCAGCCGTCCCTCTCGCTCCCCCTCCCCAATCCGCACCCCTACCTTGTCTTTTACACTTAATTACCTCGCTTATTGCACTACATCAGGGTGGGGAGGGGTGCAGAAATATCGCAGGGCAGCGGGCAAGTGTGTTTGGCACAAATAGGGCATGAGTAATCGCCAATTCGCTCGCTGTGCCTCCGAGGAAGGAAAGGGAAACAGGATTCCGTATTAACAGATAAGGTACAGAGAAAACCGGACTCTTCTATCTCCCCACCACCGCCCAAGGCCTTGCGAAAGGGACTCTCTGAAGCATGCAATAAAGGAGCAACAAGGAGATGGGCTCAGGGAGAAAGGAGGGGGGGGCATTGCTAAGCAGCGGCATTTAAATAAGAGCTGCCCTTTGCGGACCTAAAAGGCAAGTTGTCTGGAGAGGTGGCTTCTGTTTGCTCCAGCGGGACCGCTAACCTTGAACTTGCAAGGCGTGTGATGTCACGGCTCCTTGCCGGGGAGACAGATGGGCTATGATGTCATAAAGAGCCCCAGATTGTTCTCATGGCCCATGTGTTCTTTCAGGAGGGTGTTATGTGCGTGTGGTGATTTGGAGGTGGAAAGCATGAATGCAGACCTTCCGACTGTCCCGATTTTCCTGGGACAATCCCAGATTTACAGCAGCCATCCCGGTTGTCGTTTTTTATTTGATTTATTTGATTTTATTTTTATTTTATTTGGAATGTCCCGCTTTTCCTTATGACGTCCCTATTTTTATCAGAGAAATGTTGGAGGCAATGAGAGCAAATATGAGATGTGGTTTGAGCAAACAAGTTGGAGGAGAGAAGACTGGGCGCTGATTCGAGAGCCATCTTCAATCATTATCATCATCATCATCTTCATTATTTTATTTGTAGCTGCCTTTCCATAGTTGACACTATGCTCAAGGCGGCTTACAACATGACAAGATTTACACAATTACAAACACAGCAGAAGTCATAAACAATAAATAAAACACATCAAAAAGTACATAACCAAATGGAAACAATTTCCACGTAAATCATAAGATCAAAAACTAAAGATGCAACAATAATATCCATAACAGCAGCAGCTCTCTCAATCCTCCATAAACAATACAGTGGTACCTTGGGTTAAGAACTTAATTCGTTCTGGAGGTCCATTCTTAACCTGAAACTGTTCTTAACCTGAAGCACGACTTTAGCTAATGGGGCCTCCTGCTGCCGCTGCACCGCAGCTGCACGATTTCTGTTCCCATCCTGAAGCAAAGTTCTAAACCCGAGGCACTATTTCTCGGTTAGCAGAGTCTGTAACCTGAAGCGTCTGTAACCTGAATCGTCTGTAACCCGAGATACCACTGTACTCCAGTCCAAGAATCTGTTCAACAGCCTCAGCTTTTGTAGCTGGAGTCAGTCCACACTCCACTCTGCCGGGCCAGATGGGAAAGGGCCAGCAAGGCAGAGTGCGGGTCTTCCAGGGCTCACAGCCAAGAAGACGGTCTCATTTAAAAGAACGCAGATAAAAATTAAAAACAATTTTGAAAGAGGAGCCCTCTCTGCTGAGCAGCAGCCGCGGTCCTTGTGAAGCCTGTCAGGCCCCGCCCCAAGCCAGGTGGAGAGAAGAAGAGGAAGAAGAGTTTGGATTTGATATCCCGCTTTATCACTACCCGAAGGAGTCTCAAAGCGGCTAACAATCTCCTTTCCCTTCCTCCCCCACAACACTCTGTGAGGTGAGTGGGGTTGAGAGACTTCAGAGAAGTGTGACTACCCCAAGGTCACCCTTGTGGAGGAGCGGAGACACGAACCCGGTTCACCAGATTACTAGTCTACCGCTCTTAACCACTACACCATACTGGCGTTGAGAGAGGACAGGGCAGGGCCCTTCAGTCCCTCAGCGGGCAGCCCTCCTGAAGGGCTGAGGAGCTGCCACACGGAAGATGGAACAAGCTTGTTTTCCGCTGCTCCAGGGGGTAGGACCCGAACCAATGGATTCAAATGGCAAGAAGGGAGATAATGACTGAAAGTCAGGAAGAACTTTCTGATGGTGGAACAGCAGAGCAGACTACTCTGGTGGTCTCTCCTTAAACAGAGGTTGAATGGCCACCTGTCAGGGATTTTCTAGCTGTGATGCCAGCATTGGACTAGATGACTCTTAGGGTCTCCCAAGAGCCAGCGTGGTGTAGTGGTTAAGAGTGGTGGACTTGTAATCTGGTGAACCGGGTTCGCTTCCCTGCTCCTCCACATGCAGCTGCTGGGTGACCTTGGGCTAGTCACACTTCTCTGAAGTCTCTCAGCCTCACTCACCTCACAGAGTATTTGTTGTGGGGGAGGAAGGGAAAGGAGAATGTTAGCCGCTTTGAGACTCCTTAGAGTAGTGATAAAGCGGGATATCAAATCCAAACTCTTCTTCTTCTTCCCTTACAACTCTACAATTCTAAGTGTAAATAGGGGTGTGTGTTTTTTAAACGTAGGATCAGAGGCGTAGGAAGTTCAGGTGGTACCCGGTGCGGAAAATTTCTTGTCTCTCCCCCCCCCCCACATTGACTTTTTTTTTTTGCCTGCAAAAATGGCTTTATGTTATTTCATATTTTCTTACAAAGGAATAAATAATAATAACAAACTTTTATTTATATCCCGCCCTCCCCAGCCGAAGTTGGACTCAGGGCAGCTAACATCAGATACATAACACTGGTATAAAATCAAACAATAATTAAATTACCTCCTAAAAACATGTCAAATTCAAATTACAGTCTAATTAGATGGCTTTCCGCAGGGTTAGGGTTGGGAACAGTAAGTGCTCCACAGAATTGAAATTCCAGCCTTCACGACATAGGAAAACGGTCAAGTAAACAGCTGTTTTCATGGAGGAGGTCAAGATATTAACTGATATGCATGACATTTCATATATAGCTATATAATCCCCAGTGTAGTAAGAGAAGAACCTTTGGAGCAGGGTTTTTTTTTTTTTAAGTTTTTTTATGAACTGCCCTAGCAGGGCAGTTATTGTTCCTTGATAATTTGTCATCCCCTCCCTCCATAATGGCACCTGGGGCAGCCCGCCCCCTGCCCCCCTTTCCTACGCCCCTGTGTAGGATTAAGCGTTGGTTCTGGGAATCATAATCTGAATGCTTGTGTGTTAAACCTAAGAGTTGGAATTGTGGGTGACTGGGCTCTGTTTGGTTATTTCCCTGGCACCACCTGCCTGACGTGCTCTGGCCCGCTCACTCATGAATCATGAAAGTGGCCCCCTCCTTTGTAGCCTGGGGGGGCTGGGCGGGCAGGCGGGGGGTGGGGAGGGCAGAGAGCTCACATGTGGCACATTCACAACCTCAGACCTCCATCTTTTCTGCTGGGTACACCTGGCTCCCTGTGGTATCTTTCATCCTGCCTGCCCCGCTGCCTTGATTTAAGACAGGTTAGCACCGCAGCCGTCCCATAAAATCCCCAGCTGGAGTCGAGTGGCACAGAGAGAGGGAAGCACCCCAAATAAAAGAAGGGGGGGGAGAAACGACAGGGCATCTTGGACCCTTTTAAAGGGGAAGGAGGAAACAGGTGTTTCAGCTGTTCTTCCTTGCTGGCATGAGGAGGGCAGCTGAGGATGGTGGCCTGGGAATTGTGCCCCAGTTTCAGAAGGGAATTGTTGGGCGTTTTCAGAGTGGGGTCAGGAGCTGCCCTGCTTTGCATGCTGACAGTGCCAGCTGCTCAAATGGATGGCACAGCCTCACTTCTGAAGGAGTTTTGCATTTCCTTAAGGCTGCGTAACTTGTGGTGGTTGGGGAGTTTTGATCACACCTCCTGAGTTTCTGGCTCCCTTTTGTCTATTCAACGCTGAGCCTGTATCTCACTATTTTCCTCTCCTGGGTCTTTACTCTTCTTCTTATTTTTTTAAAAAAACCTTAGGTGACTTCCCCTCTTTTCCCCCCCAAATGCTTTTTATTGAATTTTCTTTAACACAAACAAAACTGAAAATCAGTTGCACTTTATACCTGTACACATAAAGTAAAGGTAAAGGTAAAGGGATCCCTGACCATTAGGTCCAGTCGTGGCTGAATCTGGGGTTGCGGCGCTCATCTCACTTTATTGGTTGAGGGAGCCGGCGTACAGCTTCCGGGCCATGACTAAGCCGCTTCTGGCGAACCAGAGCAGCGCACGGAAACGCCGTTTACCTTCCCGCTGGAGTGGTACCTATTTATTTGCTTGCACTTTGATGTGCTTTCTAACTGCTAGGTTGGCAGGAGCAGGGACCGAGCAACGGGAGCTCACCCCGTCGCGGGGATTCGAACTGCCGACCTTCTGATCGGCAAGTCCTAGGCTCTGTGGTTGGTCTATTCTGCCTTGGTCAGACCACCCTTGGAATACTGTGTCCAATTCTGGGCACCACAGTTTAAGAAGGATGTTGACAAGCTGGAATGTGTGCAGAGGAGGGTGACCAAGATGATCAAAGGTCTGGAAGCCAAGCCTTATGAGGAGTGCTTGAAGGAGCTGAGTATCTTTAGCCTGGAAGAGAGGAGACTGAGAGGAGATATGAGAGCCATCTTCCAATATCTAAAGGGCTGTCACATGGAAGAGGTAGCAAATTTGTTTTCTCCTGCTCTGTAGGACTCGAACCCATGGCTTCAAGCTACAAGAAAGGAGATTCCAACTGAACAAGGAGATTCCAACTAAACACCAGGAATAATTTTTTGGCAGCAAGAGCTGTTCGACATTGGAACGGTCTTCCTTGGGAGGTTGTGGACTCTTCTG